GCAGCCAGAATACTCAGAGGTTTGCAGAGATGAGGCAAGCGGAGGACTCCATGAATTTTTTAGGCTGCCGGAATACTCAGTAGTTTGCTGAGGTGACCTATAGGCCCTTTATGGGATAGCGGAGGACTCCATGAGTTTTTTTAAGGCAACCGGAATACTCGGAAGTTTGCAGAGGTGACCTAGGCCCTTTATAGAAACCTGGAGAACTTCATGGGTTTTTTAGGCAGCCGGAAATACTTATAAATTTGCAGAGGTGAGCAAGCGGAGGACTCCATGAGTTCCTATAGGCAGCCGGAATACTCAGGAGTTTGCAGAGGTGAACTACAGGCCCTTTAAAGGAACGTGGCGGACTTCATGAGTTTTTTTAGGCAATCGGAATACTCAGGAGTTTACAGAGGTGATCTACAAGCCCTTTATAGGAACATGGAGGACTTGTAGAGAAGAGGTAAACGCCGCTTATAGGAGAGCGGACTCCATGAGCTCTATAGGCAGCCGGAGTGCACAGGAGTTTTCACAGGGTGACCTAAAGCCCTTTAATAAAACATCGAAGGACTTCATGAGTTCCAGGTAAGCGGAGGACTCCATGAGTTGTATAACCATGCGGAATACTAGGGAGATTACAGAGTAGAGTCATGGAGTTTGCAGAGATGACCTGAAGCCCTTTTATAGAACATCGTGACCTGAAGCCCTTTATAGACTCTATGAGTTGGCAGCCGGAATGCTCATGACTTTACACGGGGTGATCTAAAGCCCTTTTTTAGAACATCGAAGGACTCCATATGATCTAAAGGGCAGCCGGAATGCTCAGGAGTTTGCGGAGATAAGCTAAAGACATTTCAAGAAGAGAAAACGTTATGAAAAAACCGGTATTTTTTATAGTTCAAATGAAGTGGAAAACTTCGTTAGTGTTTTAGACATGTGGAATACCCAGAAGTTCCAAAAAGGCGTGCTTAAGTCAATGGCAGTCTTATTGACAGAACTGAAGGCCCAACAAATCGTTGATGCAGTCTAAGGAAATGCAAAGCAAGGTCTCTTCGTTTGTTCAGCTGAAGGCTTTTGGGGCCCAAATGTAGCAGAGCTGAATACCTGGAGGGCATTCAGGAGTACATGGTTGAGGTTTCAGAAAATCTTCATTGGGGAATAAGAAAGTTCCTTATATATATATATATATATATATATGGCGATTTGAGGTTGCAAGATCCAATTGGTATTTATAAGGCCCTATGGTCTCTACACTGAAGAATGGGTGTTTATAAATATCTATGATATCTATAGACCAGACCCAATAGATATTTTAAAATATCTGTGGTCTCTACACAAACGAATGGGTCTTTATAAATATCTATGATCTCTAGACCCGTTTCAATTGGTATTTATAAAAAATCTGGTGGTCTTTAGGACAGACGAATGGATCTTTATAACCCCCTATGATCTCTATACCAGCTCTAATTGGTTTTTATAAAAATCTTGTGGTTCCTAGACCAGGTCCATAGGTATTAATAAATACCCGTGGTCTACATTCCCGATTCTATTGATATTTTTAAACGCCTGTGGTCTCTATGCTGGCGAATGGGCCTTGATAAAGACCTGTAATTTCTATAGACCACATCCAATTGAAATTTCCAAAGACCTGTGACTTCTAGTTCCGATTAATTTACCTTTTCAAAAACCCATGGCCTCTGTATTGATCAAAAGGGTCATAGGGTCTCATCAAAATTTCCCATTTCCATCTAAAGAAAACATTTTTTGATTTTCAGGTCCACAACTCGTCTATGTTTTAACCTGTTTATTATCTTCACAAATGAAACCGAATTTCATATCACAATCAATATCATTCCAGGTGCCATCATCGTACAGACCCAAATGGACACAACGCTCATTCTTTTCATAGTTATTTGGTTCGAATTCACTCCAGTTGGTATATTGAAATTTATGACCCGTTGGCGTCCAGAGAAATTGCTTGCGGTCGGCCAAATTGTTACCGCCAATATAAAGCAGAGGTTTTTCTTTGCCTAGAGAAAAAAAGGAAAAGCTGTAGTTAAAAAAAATTAATCGTATTGGAATTTTTCAAACCTTTAAAAACCGTATTAATCAAATCATTTATTTCCTGCATTTTCTCGGCACTCTCAATGCTCAGCAGATCCATATTATTTACTTTACATTCTGCATCCGATTGAAACCAATTGTACTGGGAATAAAGATAATTCAGTGAATTTATTTTGAAATTAAAATGTATATATTATGAAATTTACTTACCTTATTACGTATTTCAATTAAATATCTATTATTTTGTGAAGATGTATAGAATTCAGCCGCAATTGTATTGATTTGGAAATAACAAATCCAGAGAACAACAGCTGATAAGAACATGGGCGATGTTGACTTCATTGTGGCTGGCTAATAACTGAAACAATACTTATCAGAAACAGAATCAGAATCTCTAAATCTGAGTTTGTATTTTTTTTATTAAATTACACATTTATTTTTATAATCTCTGTTTTTTTTTATTTTTGTATTGTGGAATTCAATTTCTTGGCATAAATCATTCGGCCAGTTGCATGAATAATTTTTATATTTAATTTTAGAAAAATAGGAAACGAAATGATTAAGGCATTTATTTAATAATATATTTTAAGAACGGTTTGAAAATAATATTTTTAATAATTACATCTTTAATTGAAATCTCGTCACTGTATTTTTCTGATTCAAATATTGACGGATTTTGAATTCAATATACCAAACGAAATTGGGATTTGAATCAAGTAATTTTTGGTGTTAATAAAGCTGAAGGCTCGGGTAGTCTCAATAGTGGAGCTAAAGTCTCAGGAATTCCTTTTAAATTGATGGAAGACGAGCCGAATACTTCAGAAAAAATTTTAGGGTTTTTTATTTTATGCTTTAAATAATAATAAAAAAATTGCATTTCCTTCCTTTGCACCACCCCAAAAAAAATATTCCTACAATTCAGGGTTTATTTTTATATTAATCTTTTAACAATTTTATTCAATATTCCATTTTATTCTTTCAATATTAAATTAATTTAAAAAATTCAACCATTTCTCGTTAATACTTATTGTCATAGGCGTTGTTACACCATAAATGGCCGGGAAAATGTTGTCGGCTATCAATTCCTAGTGATTATCCCCCGTTATCATAAACAATGTTTCCTTTCCTTTGTGTTATCACATGAAAGTTATTAACAACAATTCATGGTTTATTTTTATATATTAATTTTTTAATATTATTTTTTAAACAATTATTCTTTAAAAAGGAAATAAATTTAAAAAATGCAACAATTTCTCATTAATAATTATTCTCATGGGCGTTGTTGCACCATAATGGCACACAAAATGTTGTTGGCTATCAACTCAAAGTGATTGCTCCCTCCTTCATCACAGTCAGTTTAATGTTTTCCTTTTTTGTTTTGTTTTAACTATAAAAAAATAATGTAAAAAATCATTGTTGTTTCATATAATAATCTTTTAACTTTTTTTAAACATTTATTTTTATTCTGTAAACAAAATAATTTAAAAATGCAACCATTTCTCATAAATAATTCTTCTCATGGGCGTTGTTGCACCAGAATGGTAGGCAAAATGTTATCGGCTATCAAGTCAAAGTGGTTGCCCGCATTGATAAAAATCGCTTTAATTGTTTCTATTGTTTGTTTTAAAAATTCAAAAAATTTGTCAAAAAATGTCAGGACTTTTTATAAATATAAGTCGCCTACCATTTTTAAACAACATCTAATTTTATCCCTTAAACAATTATCTTGATGACTGCTCTGCCGCCGCCACAGCTACTAAGGCAGAAAATGAGACGACTAAAGGCAAAAACAATAACAAAAACGTTGAGGGCAATGATAATAGAGTTGATAATAAGAATAAAAACAATAACAACAATCATGCAAAAGCAAAAAAACCCAAATCAAAATCAATCACAATTTAAAAAATCAAAATACAGCAATGGCGCCAGCGGCTGCAGCTGTTGGTATTTCTTCTGTTAATTGCAATAAAAATAATAAAAAGAGAAAAACAAAAAAGAAGAAGAATAGCGCGAGACAGTTTTTTAAAAACATTTAATTTTATTCCTTAAAAAAAAACGACAATTTCTCATTAAAAATTATTCTCATGGGCGTTGTTACACCATAATGGCGGTTAAATGTTATTTGCTATCAACTCAACGTGATTGTCCCTTTGCTTGCCTTCTTGTCATTCTCCTTTTGTATTGACATTCTCTGTTTCTTTCATATATTTTTTTGACGGCGCCTTTGTTTTTCCTGTGTGTCTGTGTGTTTTTTTAGTATCGGCCTCGATCTCTGGCGAGAGAGATTTGTTTTTCTACCAGACAATACGGGAAACGTGAATATAAAAACAAATTTTTACCAAAATAATATTGTCAAATTGAAAAAAATTTAATAAATAATGAAAATTTAAGAGCTCTGCTATAAAATGCAAGCATTGGAATATAAAAATTCACGAGTTGAGGCAGTTTAAAAGTGAAACAGAAAAAATGGTGCTTTTGTAGAGGAGCAAAAGACAAGAAAAAATCTTAATGAGAAAAAGAATAACAACAACAACAGTAACGGCATAAACAGCCGCAGTAGCAGCAGTGGTAACGGCTACGGCAGCCGCACTCTGACAGAGAGATATAAAAAGATTTTTTTGTTGGTTGTGTGATTTTGTGTGTGGTGTTCGAAGCAGGCAAAAAGAAGCAATAACATATTAAGGAATTAATAAAAAAATATACATGCAAAATAATTAAAATTTATGATAAATAAAATAAATGTTAACAATAATTACAATGTGAAAATATTATTGCAAAGAAAATTATGTGAATAAGAAAAGAGTAACAAGAGCACTGCACAGAGAAAACCGAAAGAAGTGACGTCAAAAAAGATTTTTTCTTTCATCAGAGCAAAAAACAGCTTAATAAAAATTAAAAATAAAAAAATATATTTTAATTGGGGAAGTAGAGTAGAGCAGAAAAAAAAGAACGGCCCCACAATGACAGACTGTTTGGATAGCTTATTTAGCAGCATGGCCAATACATTTAACAATGAGGTGGATTTAAATAATGCTGAAGTCAATTTGGCCGAAGATAAAACACTAAAGTGGCGTAATTTGTCCAAAAATCAATTTGCCTCAAAAGATAAAGATAAGAAGGGCGGCAGCAGCAGCAGCAGTAATGGAAAAACTACACCAACAGTAGCTGGCAATGATGATGGTGGTGTGGCGGCGATAAGGACAGAAAGTCAGACCACCAACACCTCTGATACAATTAGTCCCAAAAAAGAAGACCAGCAACGGCATGAGGTAAAAACCGAACACCAGGAGGAGCAAATGCTGAAGGAGGAGGTAAAATCCCCCAACACCACCAACAGCAGTACAACGTCATCGCCGTCGACGACCCCTACCGTAGAGAATATTATCGATAAGAAACAAGAAAAACCAACAACAACAAATTCAGACAATATTCAACAAAATCAAACAGGAAATTGTAATAATACTTCAATTACAACAACAAAGACCACAGATACAACAAAGTCCGAACAACAATTATTGTTGGTCGAAACAGCAGCAGCTGACAGCATAAATATGGCCAATAAGAAAGTCAATAAAAAAAGCTCTGGCGAAAATCACCATCATCAAGGTCAGCCAGTTTTGTTTGTTGGTACTGCTGCTAACACCAGCACAGCAACAACAACACCAACGGAGACCCAAAACCTCCAATTATCTAAAAACAATAATTCCACTGGTGTAAAAAACATAAAAGCGGAAGAAGAGAATTCATTAAATATTGATGGTGGCAAAACACCCACAACAACAACTACAAATACTACAACAGTGACGACAACGTCATCAGCAGCAGCATCATCAACAGCTGCTGCTGCCACCTCTGTTTCTACTTTGATTTCTGATCAACAACAAGTTGTTGCAGTTAAAAAATCTAATCGCAATTCATGCGGTGATGATGACCAACAACAGCAGCCACAGAATCATCAACATCATCCTATTGCAAACAAAACCGAAAGCAAAGATAATCATGATGGTAATCTCTTGCTCAATCAAAACAAAGATGTTGAGGTAAACAACGACAGCAGCAGCAGCAGCACGACTAGTCAAGCAACAACAAAAACTAATACAGAGCCAACGCCGTTACTGGTGCTCGGCAACGACGACGACAATAAAGTGCAGAGAGTAACGGCCTCTCTCACCACACAACATCATCAAAGGGAGACTAGTGGTGGGGGCAGTGAGCATAATACAAATGATGTTGATGACTGCTCTGCCGCCGCCACAGCAACTAAGCCAGAGAATGAAACGACTAAAGGCAAAAACAATAACAAAAACAACGTTGAGGGTAATGATGGTGATGGTGTTGATAATAAGAATAAATACAATAACAACAGCCATGCAAAGGCAAACACAAATCAAAATCAATCAAAATTGGAAAATCAAAATAAAGCAACGACTGACGTTGTTGGTATTTCTTCTGTTACTTGTAATAAAAATAATAATATTGATGGAAAAACAAAAACGGAAGAAGAAGAAGAGAGCCAGACTTCATCCGAGGTGTTAACTATTAATAAAGTGGCTGATAAAAAAATTAACACCCCCTGCACAACAACAGATGTTGAAGAAGGTGAAAGGAAACAAGACGGTTCAAAAGAGGGTGGTGATGTTGGCGCTGGGGTGGTTGATGTTAATAGTAAAAGTGTAACAGTAAAAGCAAATGCCGCCGGCGTTGCTACTACAACGGCGTCGTTGCCGTCAACAACAATCAACTGCACTGTCACAGCTGCTAATGTCGTTGACAGCATTGCTGCTGATGATGATGATGATGGCGGTGGGGATGTTAAAGGTGCAAAAACTGTAAGTATAACAAGTATTTGTGAATGTGTGATGTTGTTGTTGCTGTTTTTTTATTTTTGTTGTTGTAGATTGGGGGAACTGGCTGTTATTAGCTGCTGCTGCTGCCAAGTATATAAGTAGCTGTTTTATTTTTCTGCTTCTTAAATGACTTTTGACTTTTTGCAAATGATGTGTGTGTGTGTGTGTGTGTGTGCGAGGGAAAAAAAGGAATTTTATTTTTTGCAAATGGTTTAAAGGAAAAAGATGGGATAAAATGCAATGAAGAAAAACTTGCAGTTTTTTAATAAGGAAATTAAAAGGTGTTAAAATTATTTTATCATGAAATGAAAAAATATGCTAATTAATTTATGAGTAGATACACACAAATAGTGGATGTCTTAGGTGAGGGTATTATTAATTTTGGAAAAAAAAAATTAATTTTTTTATTTGTAGAATTTTAGATCAATGGAAGTAGGAACAAAGGAAGAAAAAATTGAAAAATGGGATCATGTTTTGGCAAAGGACTGAAGAAAAAGCACCATTCTAAATTGTGCCAATTAATTAATTAGGAAAATTTGTTAATGTCTAAATTAAATTAGGAGTAGATGCACACAATTGGAGGAGCTCTAAGTTGTGGGTATTCCAATTTTTTAGAAACATTTTTTTTATTTATAGATTTTTTTATTTGTAGATTTTTATACCCAAATTCATATTGGATCAATCCATCGATATATAAGCAAAATATTTTTGGAGAAGATTATTCAATTTCAATTTATTTCATAAACGAGAACCTAGCCCATAGGGCCATGAGCGATTCCAAAAAGTTCATTACATGGACTACTTCGAGTGGAACAATGAGAGGACTAGTATTTATTATAAACTGTAGTCAATATTCTCACCGTAGTCTAATTTCTGGAAAGAGCATAAAAAATGCTTCCAATCAATTGTTTTTGAGGAAACTTGGTTTTGCAGCCAGTTCTTAATTCCCCCTTTTGTTTGCCTCGAACCCCAAATCCCTAGTCTAAATATCTACCCACCATTTTCTATTGACTTATTTAATAACCTGTTATTTTTATTTTCAGGAACCTAACATTGATTCCGATGTCCCTATGACCAATTTGGAAATTCCCCTCAACAATGAATGCAACTTGTCACAAATCAGTCCAAATCCCACTGCAAGCGATAAAGAAAGCAATGAAAAAGTCAATACAAATCAGGCGCTAAATAAACGTGGCCGTGGTCGTAGTAAGAAAATCAACAATGCAGAAGGTGAGGGAAGCACCACAAACAACACGCCTGTAACGCCCGCAGTGGAAGCGGCCAGTGAACAAAATAATTCCCCCACTTCCAATGAAAGGCGAGCGCCCGGACGAAAACGTAAACAATTGGATGATGAGTCCAATGAGGCGGCCAACAAACATCATGAGGATGAGGAGGGTAAACGTATGAGACGTAGTGAGAGATTGTGTAATCGTTTGGATGGTTTTAAGATATTGGTGAGTTTGCAATGGAGTTTTTTTTTCAAATGGAAAATTTTTCATTTTTTTTATTTTTCTAGGATGAAGATGTCCCCCTCAATCACCATCATATGGATGACTCCCCCACCCGCAAAGCCTTGCGCATACAAATCGATGAAAAGACACCACCCAAAAAACGGGGACGCAAGGCAAAAATACAAATTGAAGCTGAGAAACAACATACCGATGAACAAATTTCGCCCACTGTGGCGGCAGCAAATGCCAATAAACGCCATACCAGTGCCACTACGGCAACAACCACAAATGATGGCGGTTCGGTTATTGTTCCAAAACGTTCACAGCGACGCATTAAACCCACAACCAAAATACTCGAAAATGATGAGCTACGTTATGAATTTGAAACCAAGAATATTGTACGCATGACAGCCCAAAATTTGGATAGTTTAGAGCAGAGTGATGCCACAACACCCACCCATCAAGTTGTACAAAATTCCAGCAGTGGTGGTGGAGCAGGTTCAAAAATGAAAAGTGAAAAATCCGAGGATAGTAATGGTGGTCAGCAACCACATCCCAGTGGTTCAAGTGCCATAAAAAAGAAACTCTTTACCAAGTCACGCAAAGAAATGGAACAGCCACGGAAACCACCATGTCCAGATATTGATAAATTTCTGCATGAAATCAAGACTTCCAAATTGAATTTAAATCGTTCGCCGGAAGATAAGAAACTGAGTAAGAAACAGCAACGAAAATTGGCCAAACAAAAAGAGCGACATTTGGAGAAGTTGGGTTTGCGTCGCAATGCCAGCGATGAGATCAGTGACAATGACAGCCTGAGTGATAATGAGGAATTTGTACCGGCCAAAAGGGTACAGGTGGGTAAGCCCAGTGTTACGTTGAGGGTGCGTAAGGAGTCGACACCGCCGCAACCACAAGTTACACATCAACAGCAGACGGGGGTGGTCACAACAAAAAGTGTAACAAACCAAACCTCAGGAGGCAATTCCTTAACTTCCAATACCCGGCGTAAACAAAAACAAACCTCTAGTGAAAAATCCTTGGAATTGGATGCCAAACAATTGCGAAATTTAAATGCCTCGGCTGTGGCAGTTACAAATTTACCAACAAGCACTACCACCACTACCAATTCCAAGAATGTAAATTTAATATGCCTTTGCCAGGCCACTTCCAAATATTATACCCCCAAGACACCAGAGACCCAGTACTGTTGTGCCATTGATAACATCGATGATTTAAAGGTGGGCTGTTCCAATCAATTAAATGGTGAAATACTTAATTTGTTTAGACCCAGTCAAAGGGTAGGATATTTGGTCTTATGTGATGATCACAAAAGACGGCTGCAGACCCATAATTCCTGTGCTGAATGTGGCATTTTTTGTACACAGGTGAGTGGGATTTCAGAGAGGGTAATTTTCTTCATTTTTTTCTAATAATTTTTTCTTCTTTTTTTCGATTCCAGGGCGAATTTGTCTTGTGTAAAAATCATCACTTTTTCCATGCTTCGTGTGCCCAACGCATTGTACTCAGTTCCAAATATGATCCCCAGCAACCTGCCTCGAAAACTGCCAGTCGCACTTTGGTATTGAAATGCCCGCACTGTGGCATAGATACGGCGGAAAAGACCACCACAATTACCATGAAAAGTCAAACGGTGCCAATATTTTCGGCAACACAAAAACCACCTTTGGCGGCCGGCAATAACAACAACAATAACAGTTCGGGTGGTGCTAAAACGAATAGTAAAAATAAATCTGCCATTAATTGTTTAATGGACTCACCCATGACCTTTAAACCAAATACCAAAATCAATTATGAACATCTTATACCGGAATCGGTTATGAATGTTGTGGCTGCCCGGGGACGTTCACGCAGTACCGCCACACTCACAGAGTTCACAACCAAAGATATGTATTATGCCGTTAAGAATGATGATTTGGAAAGGGTGGCGGAGATATTGGGTAAGTGGGGGAAATTAAATTAATTGAGAATCCAATTAAATTATTTTTTTTTCTTCCAGTTTCAAAATACGATGTCACCTCCAGCATGCGTGAATGCTACAACGGCACCTGTTTGCATTTGGTGGCCACCTTTGGTACCCTACAAATGGCCTATTTGTTGCTGTGCAAAGGCAGCGGCGGTGATTTCATTAATAAAATGGATCAGGAAATGCGCACCGCGGTTATGTGTGCCGTCAATGAGGGCAAATATGATATTGTTAATTTGTTTATACAACATAGGGCGGATTTGGCCATAAGGGTAAAACAAAATTTAATTTTAAGTAATTAAAAAAAAGAATAAAATTTTATTTGAATTTTTTCCAGGGTCCCGATGGCCACACAGTCTTGCACATTGCTGCCCGCACCGGCAATTTGGAATTAGTACAATTAATCGTCTATAGCTATAAGGCCAGTAAGAATATATCACAATTTTTAAGTTTCATAAATGCCCAAGATGATGGAGGCTGGACGGCCATGGTGTGGGCGGCCGAATTGGGTCACACAGATATTGTGAGGTGGGTCAAGATATCGTTTTCAAAATTTACTTACAAATTATAACAACAATTTATTTTATTTCAGTTTACTTTTACAACAAGGTGCCGATCCCAATATCTGTGATAATGACAACAATACGGTATTGCATTGGGCTGCCCTGCACAATAATGATTTGGATACCATAACAGTATTATTGCAGACCGGTATCAATTGTAATATACAAAATGTGGAGGGTGAAACACCGCTGTGAGTTTTATACAAACAAAATCTATTAGATCATAAAAATAATTCCCATCTTTCCCTTTTCCCCCCAGCCACATTGCTTGCCGCCATTCGAGTAAAAATCTCAGTCTCCTCCTTATATTCAATGGTGCCGATTTAATGCTGAAAAATCGTGCCGATGAGTTACCCTATAATTGTATACCAAATGAAAATTCCGATTGTGCCCGACATGTCGGTTTTCAAATGCGTATGCATGCTCTACATCGTCGTCGTTCGCATATTGTTTGTGCCGATATATCGAATGGACGTGAATTATGTCCCATACAGGCATTACGTAATGAAAATAATAATATCACACCGATTGATGAATCGGATCAGATAATGTTACCAGATTTTCGTTATATTACCGATACGATAATTTTGCAGAATTCCGTGCAAATCGATAGGAGAGTGTCACAAATGCGTATCTGTACATGTTTAGATGGGTGAGTGGAGGGTGGTTTGAGTTTTGAATAGAAAAAGAATTTTGAAACTGAAATTTTCTTATTTTTTTAGTTGCATTACGGACAGCTGCCAGTGTACTGGTGCTTCGGGTCAAAGTTGGTATACCGCAGAGGGCCGTTTAAGCTCCGATTTTAATTATGAAGATCCGGCAATAATATTTGAGTGCAATGATGTCTGTGGCTGTAATAAGGTATAGAAAATAATTTAAAAAAATATTTCAAATTGAAAAAAAAAAATATCTTTTCCCATTTCAGCGTTTCTGTAAAAATCGCGTGGTGCAAAATGGCATTACCATACCGCTACAGGTGATGGAGTGTGAAGAGACCAACAAAGGTTGGGGAGTGCGCAGTATGGTCCATATACCCAAGGGTACATTTGTGGCCACCTATACGGGAGAAATTCTCACCGATCATGAGGCCGATCGTCGCATGGATGATAGCTACTTTTTCGATTTGGGTAATGGCCATTGTATTGATGCTAATTATTATGGCAATGTTAGCCGTTTCTTTAATCATTCGTGTGAGGCAAATATTACACCCGTTCGGGTATTCTATGAACATCAGGATTATCGTTTTCCGAAAATTGCATTTTTCACAAGTCGTGATGTGGAGTCGGGTGAGGAGTTGTGGTGAGTAATAAAATGAATTTCTGGTTTTTTCTTATTGTTAATTGTTTACGGTTTTCAGTTTCGATTATGGTGAAAAATTCTGGTTAATGAAAAATCGTTATTTGTCGTGTAAATGTAAAACGGCAACTTGTCGTTATGCCAATTTGACGCAACAAAATCCCATGGTCAATGGTGGTGTGGCGTCCGCCGCAACAACCACGGTTATAGAGGTGGACGATGATGATGATGACGATGAGGATGATATAACGGAAACGACCTCAGCCACAACAGCATCCCTGAATCAATCAGCAAATATAGCTATTGCCAGTACATCATCGACAACAACAACAAATCTTATACCAGCTGCGGCTGCCCAACTTGTACAAAATTTGGAAGATGTTTCCATAATTAGTGTTAGTCCTCAGGTTACATTAACTCCCATAAATCACAATAACAATATGACGGCCCATAGCCAGTCGTCGGGTGGTGGTGTAAATCATGCAGTGGCAGGGAATCATCATCACCCTTAGCTTCTTGGTGATTTAACCAATTATTCAATTATAATTTTTTATGACACTTAAAGGGTTTCCTTTAGAATTTACTTATAAATAAATTGTTAATAAGACAAACACAACCACACACACTCAACCATAGACAACACAACTTAAACACTACCACATTTTTTTTTATTTATAAAAAAAATTGCTTTGAGTGTTGAAAAATAAATTATTAAAGAACTAGGTTTGTGGTGGTTCCTGTAAACAGTTTTAGATTTAATTATAAAAATTCAATTTCAAAGCAATTTACTTTTTTCTTAAAAAAAGAAGAAGAATGAAAATAAATCACAACAAACAAATTAAGGCTTAAAGTTAACTTTTTTTCAAAAATATCCTATTTATAAATATACATATATAAATTAATTTTTAAGGACAATAGTTTTAGGTATTTTTTAGTAATGAAGTTTTTTTGTTGTTATGTTATTTTTTGATTTTATTTTTTTGTGAACTAATTTTTTTAACACATACAAAAAGTTGGAATAATTTAAAAAAATATATTACTTAAAATTAAAAAAAAAAAATAATTTAAAAAATTAGATTTTTTAAATCAGATATAAAAATATATTTTAATTAACCCGAGCTGTGCTAGCGTGACCATATGGTCACACTCACAATACAATCAATAAATCATCTAAAAAACCTGTACCCGAGCAGTGCTAGTGTGAACATACGGTCACAGCCCAAAAATTGATCCTGTCGATTATTCTGATAAGAAAAAAGGATACAAATCAAATTTTTGAATTCAGTGGCCCACAATCTAGAGACGCTGAAAGATTCGTTTCACAATTCGAAAAAAAAAAATAATTACAGCACTATTCGGGATAATATTCGATTTAAAAAAATCCGATTTTTTATTATTTTTTTAAATTAAATTATTAATTTTGTTAAAAAATTTAAAAATTTGAAATTAAATATTAAAGAAAAAATTTTGTGTTAAAAAATTTTACTTGAAATAAAAAAAAATAATTTAAAAAATTAGATTTTTTATTTAAATCAAATATAAAAAATATATTTTAATTAATATTTGTTTTAAAAAATCCGATTTTTTTTTTATTAATTTTCTAGGATTTTTTAAATGATTTTTTCTTTAAATTAAATTATTGAAAAAAATTAAATATTAAAGAAAAAAAAAATAAATATATTACAACCAATTTTTTATTTAATTTTTTTCAATTTTTTTTAAATATTTTTTTTTTAAATAAAATAATTTTTTTTTAATTTATTTTTTAAAAAAAAATATATTATACCCAATTTTGTATTTATATATTTTTATTTAATTTTTTCAAAGATTTTTTTAAATAAAATCATTTTTTTAACATTGATTTTTAAAAGGAATCTAAAAAATTAAAAAAGGAAAATATTCCTAAAAAATTATTAAATATTTTGTTATTTTTTTTTAAACAAATCTTAACGAATTAAAATTAAATTAAATATTTTTTTAAATTTTATTTTCAAATCAAATCCAAAAAGTTAAAAATTAATATATATATTTTTTATTTTTTTTTAACATATCTAAAAATTTAAAAAAAATTAAGAAGAAATCTTAAAAAAAAATTAAAAAAATAAAGAAAAAAATGTCTATATAAAAAATTGGGGTTTTATTAATATATTTTTTAATATATTTTTTTATATTATAAATACAAAATATATATCCATTATATTTTTTGTTTTTTTTTCTGATTTTTTTTTTTTTTTTTAATTGATTTTTTTAAAGATTTTTGTTTTTAATTAATTATTTTTAATAAAATTTGTTACAAATCCAAAAAATTAAAGTAGAAATATTTCAAAAAAAAAAAAAAAAAATAAATAAATAAATATTAAAGAATTCGGTTTTTTTAATTGAAAATTTTTATTTTTTGTTTAAAAAGATTTTTGTTTTTAATTAATTATCTTTAATAAAATTTGTTACAAATCCCAAAAATTAAAGTAGAAATATTCCAAAAAAAAAAAAAAAAAAAAAAATATTAAAGAATTCGGATTTTTTAATTGAAAATTTTTATTTTTTGTTTAAAAAGACCCAAACTAGTTATTCTTAATTTTTTTTATTATTTTACAGTTAAATTGATTTTTAAATATTATTTTTTTTATTTACAAAACTGCCATAATTTTCCTTATTTTTAAGTCAAAACAAATATATTTTTCCCAAAAAAAAAAAAAAAAAAAATAAATAAATAAAAAAACTCACAAAAACATAGACATAAAAAAGTATATATTATAAAATCGTATAGAAAATAATTACAATAACATGAAAGAAATGAAAATATAGAATACCATAAGTGCCTAACAAAATATTATTAAATTTTTATTATTAATTAAATATTTGTTTAATATTTTTTGTTTATCTTCTTTTTTATAAAAATCGACCGGTTTTCATTAAAACAATTATATATAGAAAATAACAATAATAATGAATAAATAAATAAAACAAATAGAGCAACAACAAAAATAGTCAATTATTGCTTAAAATGAAATTTAAATCAAAGCAATTGTAAAAAAAATCTATATAAAAAATAAATATTTTTGAATATATATTTTTTTAATTTCCAAAGAGACTGCAAGAATTATTAATTAAATAAAAAGAATAGAATTTTTAATTTTTGTTTTTTTTTTTAATTTTTTAATTAATTTAAAAAAGTGTTATGTATTTTATTATGTGTTTTTTTATTTTATTTTTGTTAATTATTTAGGATATATTTTTTAAATTTGAAACCCTTTATTATTATTTTTTTTTTTTTTTTTGTAAGAAAAAAAAAAAAATATTCCCAAAATATATATAACATATAAATTTAATACTAAGCAAAAAAAAAAAAAAAACAAAACAAATCATGTTTCAAAGGGGCTTACCCCCCCCTTTGGAGGACCTAAAAAAATAATTCTTTCTCCTTTCAAAAATATCACAAATTCTTAATAACTAATTCTTAAATTTTAAGTAAGATTAAAAAAAAAAATCCCTACACACATACATATGTATAACTATTTACTATTAATATTATTATGAACAATTAAACAAATTATAATTATCATTATTGTATAACTAAACGAATTGTAACCATCAAAAATATATTTTATAGCAATATCATCACAAAATAAATATTAAATTTAAAAAAAAAAATATTATCTATCATATTATATAATGTTTGTCATCTATATATCTATAACTACCAAATATATACATACATATATCTAACCTAAAATAAATATGTATTTTAATTTATAAACATATTCTTATTACAAAAAAATTGTTTCAATTAAAAAAAAAAAAAAAATAAAAAAAATAAAAAACTTCAAATGCAAAATATCCTCAGAACATTAATATACTGAACATAACATATTAAATGTTTTTTCTAGACATATAAAAATAAAAAAAATCATAAAAAATAAAATTTAACACTAATACATATACACAATATTTTAAATGTTTTTAAATTAGTCACACATACATATTACAAAATATTAAAAAAAAAAAACTGAACTAAAAAAACAAATTAAAAAAAAACCCATACAATAATAAATAAAATATATAAATAAATACAAATTTAATTTCAAAACAAAAGTGGGTTTTATTTAAAAAAAAAAAAAAATCACGTAGAAAAAAATGAGCCTCAGAAGCTGAGGTTCCAAAATTTTTTTCTAGAGAAAAAAATCCTAGAGGGAAAAAAATTAATCGAACCACCCCACAATGATTCCAAATTCAAATTTCATTGGTTCGCCCACAATTCAACTTGTACCAACTTTTACTACACAGTAGGACTTATTTCCAAAACCTACCCAAAACCTACACCCTCACAATGAACCTAAATCCATGTTTCACTATTCGAACTCTATTGGTTCACCCACAATTGAAATTGTACCAAATTTAGTACGCAGTTGTACCAATTTCCAAAACTTCATACATATCCCAATCCTACACCCCACAGCCATCCTAAATCCATGTTTCAGGATTCCAACTTTCTCGGTTGACCCACAATTCAAATTGTACCAAATTTAGTACATAGTTGTACCAATTTCCAAAATTTCATACATACCCCAATCCTACACCCTCACAGCCATCCTAAATCCAAGTTTCAGGATTCCAACTCTATCGGTTCACCTACAATTTAAAATTGTACTAAATTTTGTACACCCCAATCCTACAACCCCACAGTGATCCCAAATCCAAATTTCAGGATTCCAACTCTAACGCTTCACCCACAATTTAAATTGTACCAAATTTAGTACACTTAGAAACAATTTATAAAACTTTATACATACCCCAACCCTACACCCCCCCACAGTAATCCGAAATCCAAGCCTCAGGAATCCAACTCTATCGGATCACTCACAATTTAAAATTTACCAAATTTAGTACACATTAGTACAAATTTCTAAAACTTTTACATATCTCAAGCTTACACCTCAACAGTGATCTTGACTCCAAATTTTATGATTCTAGCTCTATTGTTTCACCTAAAATTCAAATTGTACGAAATTTAGTACCATTTAGTACCCATAAGTATTAATTTGTTAAACTGAATTCTGACCCTAATCTTACACCTTTACAATGATCCTGACTCCAAAATTTTATTGTACCCGCTCTATCGGTTCCCCCAAATCCAAATTGTACCAATTATAGTACGATGTAGTACTTTTCGTACACATAAGTAAACATTTTTCCAAAACTACGTACATATCCCAATCCTACACTCCGACGGTAATGTTACATTAAATTTTCAGGACTCCAGCTCAATTTTCAGGATTCCTCCAAATCAAATTTGTACCAAATATAGTACCATATAGTACTTTTGTGGGTTTTGGTTGCATTTTTCCACCGAATTGGCTGTAATTTAGTATTTTGAGTTCTTATTGGGTAGCAAATCTCTCCACTAAAAATTATAAACATAGGGAAATTTTTTTCTGGTAGCCCCCATATAAGGGTACCCTACAATTTTCGGTATTTTGAGGTTCTTGAGCGCGTTTTTCAACCGAATTCGCTG